TGGGGTGCCTTCAGATGTTGTAGAGGCAGTAAATTTAAGTGAGTTTAAGAAAAAGCTTGATAAGTATATAAATGAAAAGTGATGGGTTTAAAATTTTTTATTATTTTATTCATTTTAATTTAGTTTTGAGGATGGAACAGCCGAGATGGACCAATAGGTCCCATATTGTCCCAAAATATGTTATTTAGTTTTATTATGTTATTTCTGTTTGAATCATACCTACCTATTGCACATAGCAGGAGTACAGGCAGATTATGGTAAACAAAGTTTCAGTTTATCAGATGTAATGTCTATGTTCTCATGGACTTCTTGAGGAGTATCCTGAACATAATTTGTATTTGATTTTTCACTTAACATTTCTTATATTACTTTATAAGTTTATAATTTTTACATTTTAATTACTTTTATAACAATAAATAACAAAATATATGTAAAAGCAAGAAATGTTATACTTATGTGTGGTTCTTGTAATATTTTTTGCTTTTGAAGTTGTTGTTAGTGCTTTACGTAACTTTTATTCATTTCAAATATACAGCTTAGAACACAAAATAATAACAAGCCTGAAGAATAAAATACCCTGTAAGTATTATAATGTAACTAGCTTTCTAATTAAGTTATAAGTTAATCAATGTAGTTCCCTTACTTGGTACATGTGTTCTTGGCAATAGCAAAAACGAACCTGGAAGCTGAATAATTCAAATACTATCATCAGGGAGAGAGAGCTTTATATTGAAATCAGTAAATTAAAATATTCTCTTTTTTATAGGTTATAAATAATCAAACAAGAAATATCAGAGAGAATTATTGACATGTTTTGAAAATTGGATATACTAGGATGGGTGTGGCATGTTGATTTAATTTTATTGCATATATCTAACTAAAGCAAGATTATTAGAGGCTACAAATTCACAATTTTATCTCGGAGATATCTACAGTGCAACTGTGAGTTTTATTAGAAACTTAATTTCCTATGAGGAAGAAAGATAATTTAAAATGGGTCATTTGGAGCGGAGAAGCATCACATAATGAATAGAAGTGAAGATTGAAAACTTATTTAAATGTTTTCTTTAGATATTAAGAA